AAAATGGCTCCTTAATTAGCTCTCAGGATAGACGCCTTGAACGCTGGAAAGAACACTTTGAGGGACAATTTAACTTGCCTACAGCCACACTGAACCTCCCCGACATCCAGAACACACCCGAATGGGATATAGACACTGGTCCGCCGTCTGTAAGTGAAGTCACAAAGCTATCAGTTAACTAGGGTAGGGCTATACCGATATTCAGAAGGGAAACAAGTCCTCGTGTGATAATCATAGGGGGATCAGCCTAACGAACATAGTCTCTAAAATCCTAGGCTCAGTAATCATGCATAGACTAAGCATAACTCGGGAGGAACAGACAAGGGAAAATCAAGCAGGCTTTAGACCAGGTAGAGGGTGCATAGATCATATCTTCACTCTTCGACAGATTCTAGAACATAGACACACTTTTCGACGTGCAACAATTGTCATATTTCTTGACTTGAAGGCGGCCTTCGACTCCGTGGATCGAAAGGTACTATGGCAATGTCTGACTGTGAAGGGAGTGCCAAGAAAGTACATTGCACTAATCAAGGCACTCTATTCAAACTCACGTAGTCGTGTAAGGGCTTATGGGGAATTGTCATCTGAATTGGTAACAACCAGTGGTGTCCGACAGGGATGTCCACTTTCCCCATTTCTGTTTAACTTCATCATAGATATGCTGATGGAAGTATCCTTAACTGAACGTAATGACTTAGGAATCGACTTGTTACCAGGGAATAGTCTTATGGACTTAGAATATGCAGACGACATAGTCCTGTTAGGGGAGGATGCTGACAAAATGCAGAGTCTTCTGAACACCTTGAGCAGCAATCTTCGTATGTTTGGCATGCGATTCGCCCCTACAAAATGTAAGGTGCTGCTACAGGACTGGACCACGTCAACTCCTAACTTAGTGATAATGAGTGAAGTGATAGAACATGTTGATCACTTCACCTATTTGGGAAGTTGTATTAGCACCAACGAACTGATTGGCGATGAAGTCTCAGCACGGATCCGAAAAGCTCGAGCTGCTTTCGCTGCCTTATACCATCTCTGGCGTAGGCGTGACATCCGGTTATCAACCAAGGGACGTGTGTACTGCTCATCAGTTCGCTCCGTCCTTCTCTATGGCTCTGAAACATGGCCAATACGAGTTGAAGACATGAAAAGGTTGACTGCTTTCGATCATAGATGTCTGCGATCTCTGTCTCACGTTAGGTGGTTTAATAAGGTAAGTAATGTTGACGTTAGGCGTAGAGTGTTGGGCAAAGAGGGAAAATCGATCGACGGGGCTATAAAGTTACATAGACTGAGATGGCTAGGTGACGTGCTGCGCATGCCTAACCATCGCCTCCCCCGACGGGCATTGCTAGCCGATATAGGTGCAGGTTGGAAAAGAGCCAGTGGTGGCCAAACAAAAACATGGCCTAATCAATCCATGAAATCCTTGACAGTTAAACTGAGTCAGGTAGGGAGACGCAGACTTCCGGGTTGGGGCCCTCGGGACTCTAGGAATCAATGGCTGGAGACAATAGGTAACATGGCTCAAAATCGTTGTCAATGGCCAGCGCAGATGTATTCAGTCTCTGTAATCTTTCATATTCCTTCCTACCATTACCCATTCTGTTTCACTCTTATACTTGTCAAACTCTATTGATTCTCTTCACTCATCTTCTTGTCTACATCTGTGTGCTATTTGGAACGTGGCAACTCGAACTGCTGCACTTCGGTGCCAAGTTCTATGTTGAATCCAGACAGACAGAGATGCCCACTGGCACCATACCTGTTTAATTTCATCATAGATGTACTAATGGACTTAACCCTAACTGACTTCGGAGACTCAAGACAAACTTGTTACTGTCAGAGAATAATCTCGTTGACTACGAATATACGGGTGATATAGTCCTAGGTGAAGATTCTGACAGAATGCAGAGTCTTCTTAACACCTTGAGCTGGAATCTGCGTATGTTTGATATGCAATTCGCTCCCGCACAATGTAAAATAGTGCTACAGGACTGGAAAACATTGATTCCTAGCTTAAAGAGTGAAGTGATCACTGAGCCTGTGGATCACTTTACTTATATAAGAAGTTCCATCAGACAGTCTCAACGGGTTGATCGCTTACGTAATCTCAACACAACGGATACAGAGGGCTCATTTGGTATACGCTAACCTACGCTATCTCTGACCTAGACGTGATATCCGGCCGGCTGTCGACCAAAGGGGCTGGGTACTGCTCAGTAGTCAGTTCGCTCTGTCATCCTATAAGCCTTTTAGACCTGGCCATTGAAAGTGGAAGATATGGAAAGCTTGGCTGGCTGTATTTGATCATAGGTGCATGCGTTCTATCTCCCGTATTATGTGATGTAATAGGATGAACAGTATTAAGTTTTAGGTGTCGAGGGCTTGGTAAGCAGGGGAAATCAATGGACGAGGTTGTGAAGTTACACCGATTGAAATGGTTAGGACATGTGTTACGCATACACAGCAGTTGTCTTCCTTGACGAGTAGTGTAAGTTGACAAAAGATGGATCAGGCTGGAAAAGAGCTAGTGATGTTCAAACCGAAACATGGCTTCATCAGTCAATGAAATTCACAACAGTTAGTTTAAGCCAACCAGTCATCTAGGGAGGTGTAGATTTCCTGACTGGTTGGGGTCCTCGGGACGGTGAAAATCAGCGGCTGGACACAACTGGTGATATGGTTCAAAATCGTTCTCAATTCATAATGCAGATGCATTCACTCTTTGTGGTTTATAATATCCAGTAAAAGTATATTGTTCTTCCATATTACTGTTCTTTTTGTCTCGTATCTCTGTTCTAAATATCATTTTACTCTCTTCTCGTTTGGTGTGCTAAGTGAATTGTTGCACATCTTTGCAAAGTTCTACGTTTAAACCAGTCAGTCAGTTAATAAACTTGAACGTAATCGATTGTCTTTGGAGATTTTCTAAGACTATCGTTCACTTGCATTAATATTCATTATTTTGTGGACCTGATATATGGATTTCCCTAAGTTCGACTGTCATTCACTTTGTTCTATTTCAGAAGGTAGGTAGTCGTAGTAGTGGCTCTATAGAGAGTACGATCTTTGAACACCTAGTCAAGACGTAGTATTGCATCTCAACAAACGCCTACAGTCAAGAATAATCTACCAAAGGTGATACGCTTTCGTATCCTTTGTATTGCTAAAGCTTTAGTCATTCAGCTGGAAAAACTAGAGTTATGCGTACAAAAGAAAATCATTCAACCACTCCTGCTATCATGGCAACAACTGTATCGATTTCTACTCACTTGATGTTTGTATGCTTGCTTTTCTTACACCTTATAACTTATATTTCTCCACAACTCGTATATAATTCCATATTTTCCCTCGTTTCTACGTACATCCTAGTCAAAACTCACTCATTAATTCATTCATCTTGTTACGCAACCATAACACACTAATTCAACTTCTCTTATACAGTGACTAACAGTGGCAACTATTTTTGACAACTCATCACGATTACTCTTATACTAATCTTCACCCCCTAGTTACAGTTTAATTATTCATCGCATTCCCTGAAGTATTTTGATGATGTAAACAACAACCCTAACTAATTTTTATTCTTGTCTGACAGCTAATACATACAAAAAAATAATTATGTATAATTGCGATTGTACAGCTAAGTGAGTGAATTCATCGAAAAAGACTTCGTTGAACTACGTGTTTTGGTTCTCTATTTCAGTATGTCTGTTGATTGAAGATGCTCTTAAGTCCCAGGCTTCTAAGAATCCTCTGTAATTGGGGCCTTCTATTCGATTGTTACTCTATATTTCATGCTAATACTAAAATATTGATCGGACGCTCAGACTGAAGCAAAGGGTTATTTGAAGGGGCCATTACCCAGGTGTTTAGCTTGAAGTCTGACAGACAAGATGATAAGGGGACTTCTGGAGCTACACTCCCACTCTTACAGGCTTCAAAATCGGTCCACATATCATTGTTTCTTTTTTGATCCTGGTGCACTATCAGGATTTCCCAACTCTTTTAAGTGAACTTTCCATGTTCCTTTTTCTGATGAGCACCGAAAATTCTAACTTATACTATAACTGCATGACCTCGTAGGGACGTTTCGAGGTAAGCACAGTCCACTCATCCTCTGTCTTAACAAACGACTCATAAAAGGGTCTAACTCCCACTCCTTCTTCTCTCTGGGCAAAGGTGAAGAAACAAGTTAACACACCCATAAGTCAGTACAGGATCATCAGGTTACAAAGTTACCATCCAGAGTATTAACTCCATTTTGACCGCTTGACTGTTACCCACAATGCTGAGTGTTTTTGCATCTTCGTAGTGTTGTTCGTGTGTTATGAAGTCACTAATCGGCTTAAAGTCTTGCTATAGTTTTCCATGGCAGATCACTGTATAGTAATGTAGATACGTCCCCACTAAGAGAGTTTGAATATGCTTTGTAGATGTCGATCACTGTTTTTCTCACCATGCTGTTAACTGAAGTGAGATCGCGGAAAACTAGGTTGCCAAGTCGAAATGTACTGCCAGTTTCTGAAAACATTTGACAGGTTGAGGGATATCTGTTCATCAGAAAACATTATTTGGCAACTGCTGGTGATATAACTGAACTACTTCTCGAGGCCCTCCTCATTTATGTTGACGTTTACTTAGCTGTTTTAACTATCCTCATAACCTTCGATATTGGTCAATCTCTGCTTGCTTTCTCTAGTGATTTATTTGAAGTGGGATTGTTACGGTTCTGTTTTTCCATTTGAATTTATCATTATAGCCGATTCTGGCCTTTTGTCTGGTTGGTGTACTGTTTCAATGTGTCATGATTTAGATTGTTGTTTTATCTGTCTGACTTATCTCATTCTTACCAGAGTATTTATTATTACTACATCAACCCTTTTATAAAAGGACTTATTGCCATATTATGTATTTTTCAAATTGTTTTTTTTTATTTCAGCCTTCATTGCCAAACTGATTAATTTGGGTGGAAATAAAAAGTTTCAAGAAAAATGCACCAACTATCAGACAAGATGATATCCGGTTTGAAAACTTACAAATATTCATGTGTTGATAATTCTCCATTTTCAACATATATTATGCATCCGTTTTGGGACTGGTTATCACAAGTATGAATTCTATATTAACTAATGAATTCTTGAATTCACTTATAGTTTTATCCTGTTTGGTTAGCTCCAAATCTGATAACATTCACTGGTTTCCTTTTAACAGTTGCGCATTATTTCCTTACGTGTTTTTATAATCCAAACTTCTCTGCAACTAACAATGTTCCTGTTTGGGTTTGGCTTGTCACATCTTTCCTTGTGTTTATTGCTCATACTTTAGGTTAGTTTTTCACTATAAACTTGTGCTAATTCGTCACTTTAGATGGCACAGATGGTAAACAAGCTCGTCGAACTAAGTCATCATCAGCTCTTGGAGAATTATTTGATCATGGATGTGACTCATGGGTGTGTCTTTTTCTTCCTGGATCAATGTTCTCACTGTTAGGTGATGTGTATACTACACGTGAGATGTTTATTGGACAGTGGGTACTGATTGTTAGTTTTCTACTATCTCATTGGGAGAAATACATTACGGGTGTCTTGTTTTTACCGTGGACTTTTGATACAAGTCAAACAGTAAGTAACCTTTTTTTTATTTATCTCCATATGCTAATTTTTGTAACAAAATTTTATGAGTGTTATATTCAGAATGTATGTGATTACATTATCATGATCTGGAAGACTAATCGGCTTACAGTAAGCACGTTTCCAAGTTCAGTTGCATACATTCGCATTTCACTTCCAAGATAATGTGAAAAACTGAACTACATTGTTTTTTTCCATTACAACTTAAATATCCCTTAAACATCTTTCTGCAAATAAAAAAATCTATATTTAAAGACACATTTGGTTATTCTCTTACAATTTTAAGACCTTATGTGCTAATTAAAGATCTAGATCCGTATGGAACTCTTAGCTGTTTGTTTTGTGCATCCATTCAGTGTAGGCATACACTTACACTTAGTAGTGCATGGTCTGAGTCCAGACAGGTATTCCTTCACACTCACAAAGCAGTTACTACTACCAGAATCTCCACATCATTTATGTCTTCCTAGACTACCATGACCCCCTAGTCTGGGAGACAAGTGCTTGAATCCGGTCACACAACAAGCTTAAAGTCTCGTGCTGTACCCTCGACTGCAAACCACCGTAGGGCAAATAGGGATGGATAGTTTTTGCGACCGACTGTTTTCTAAATTCTGCTCTCCAAAGTGGAAGTTAGTACATCGCTGGTTTGTCAGTTACACGAGGCAAACACATTATCTCTCTTACGCCCCTGTCCGTTAACAGTGCGACTGTCACATCATAGTTTCCACATGGAGTAAGTAAACTGATTTTAAACTAACTGCTATCCAGTCAACTTTTCTAGTATGGTAAGACTTACAAAATCATTCCTTGCATCCAGTATAGGTTTTCATATAACTGGCATCTACAGTCTTCACCATTTCAGGGCTGTATACATTAAATCTACCAATCATCGTGAACTGAGACTTACTTACGACGGTGACATTAGCTTTTTTTACTGGTATTTAATTGAAATGGGTGTTTTCATTATTTCATTCACATGATTCAATATAAATGTAGGACAGAACTTATTGAAGATAGCATATTGTGGAAACCGAGCATATTGCATACTGCTATCAGAAATGGAGTGTATATGCTTTTCCTGACCTTTGACAGAGTATGTCATCATTCCCGTGTTTGCAATGGTGTCTTAAGTAAGACCTGCTTATCAAATGCCACTAAGGGGTTATAACTGTGTTGAGTTTTTTTGCTGGGTTAAGTGACATTTTTTTTGCCATTCCTCATGGCACCACCTAATCGAAATTGAACATTGATCCAAAGACAGCACTTGTCAGTAATCAGTGAAAATCAGTGTATATCCCTTCACAAATATAATAAAACTGTAGATTTACATTTGTGCGTTTGTATTTCTCGCAAAACAAGTCAGTCTATCATAGAGGTGAACATAACAGTTTAACTAAAATAACTTAATTTTTAGGCATCTTGAATTGTACAAAAGATACTGCTTGTGTTCTGTGTGGGTTTTTCTCCTATATAATCTGTACTCTGAATTTGTATTTATTAGATGAAATTATTCTACCAAAAAATAACCCATAATTGAATTTTTGGAGTTCTTTCTTCTTACATTGTCTACTCCTCTTCTTTTCAATACTTCCAATCTGAATCAGTGTACATTAGCACTTTAGAAGAAAAAGCAATTAAAGATAATTTGCAACTTTTATTAAAACAAGAAGAATAAGACTCTAGTATATCTCATTGTTAACAGGAAATAACAATATAGTCTAAACCTATCGTGGGAAAAATTCTAATAAAATAAATATATCATTACTGCACCTATATATTAAACATGTGTTAATATGATCTATGCATGCATATGAAGTCGTGTACATTGTCGTAAACTAACTAATTTACGTTAATTTGATGATAAAACAAAAAGGTATGACAACTAGTTAGTCTGATTCTCATCAGACGATGTTTGCGGAAATCACATATGCTTGGTTAACAGACGATACTTTTTGTGTTTAAAGACAACACATATGCCCTGTATTATATGAACACGCATACGGATTGTCAGTTAACACTTAAATGTAATGATTCAGATCACCAAAGTGATTCCTTTGTCTTATAATTTCTATGATGAAAAACAGTTGGGAAAATAAGCAATTCAACAAATAACTATATCATTCATTTGGTTTTTAAAGTCTATTTCTTTTCACGACGAACAGATTTTTTTAAAAACTTATCCATCCTGTGAGTTTCATGAAGTTATCTGAATAGTTCTTGTGGGCTCTATAGCGAAACACCTGCTACCCAAATAGAACGACGTGGACAATCTTCTGTATACTATCCGGCTAAATAAATCTATGATGACAAGTGAAGATCGTGATATCTGTTGATGCCTTTTATAGTCTCTAGTTAAGCATTCATTGGCTGCAATTTAGACAAATTAATACATAGTTTCAGCGTCGGTGGCATAGCGGTTAGGACGCTCGCCGACCATGCACATGGTCCGGAGTTCGATCCCCTGCCGACGCATTCCTTTAACTCGTTAAGCCAGAAATAATGCTGGTAAAGAGGAAAGGTTGGGCATGGGGCTAGCAACCCCATCCTGTAAAAATAAACACTACTACTAGCCACTGCCTTGAAGCCCTATGTTCCACTGGGGAACGTGAAGCAAAAAAAATACATATTTTTCTGTCATTAGTTCTCCACTTTCGGTGGTAGAAGACTACTCGAAGGTAGTTAGATTAACAAGCGCACAAGTAGGAAAACTGATCTAATCTTGAAAGTAGAGTACATTTACTGTGTGTAATGTCAACGAACTAACAAAGTGGTCATTTCTTTTGTAACTAGGTAATCGTTGATATCAAGTCAACAATGGACACAGACAAATTACTACTGGATGTGTGGAGACTGATTTTAGAGCGTTCCAAACGTAAGGATGACTGATTTAACGTCTTTTGAACGACCCGGCATAGTAGTGAACAACAAAAACAAAAGAAATAGAAAAGGTGTCACCCATCAACCATTTATATGTTTTTTTTAAGGAAACGGGTGCTGAAAAAGCTATGTTAAGTGAAACGATTCTCTGCAGGGATTGAACTTGTATATTTTCTCATGAAAGACAACTATACTATTGTACAGAAAACTTTGAGGAGCAGTCCAAGTGGTCCACAACTGGATTTCAATTATCCACCATTCGATTCATGCATAAATGGAAATTTATAATTGCGAAAATAATCTTAAACAATTTAGAGCAACATGACTTTTCTTAGTAGTGCTTAGGCAGTGTAATGAAGAATTGTTGTCCAGGGTAAGTTAGTAATGAGATAGTATTAAGTGAAGTAGGATTACTTGGAAGTGTAGCACATGTAGCTAAAGTCCTTCGGATCCTAATGATAAATGGTTACAGACTCCTGGTAGCATGTCTCAAATTGTTCATAATGACGTAGATATATTTATCTGTTACTATCTTCCAGATCCTCGAAAGCTACATGAATATTTAATCAATTATTCCTTCCACCGCACAACTAGAAAAAAAACCTTACAGTTATGATTACAGCGGAATCGGCCTAAATACGCTCACATAGTCACACGTCAATGACCGTATGGTTGAACACCTTACTGGCTGAGTTTCAACATAGGACTTTGCACAGAAGTGCAGCAGTTCAAGTTGCGACACTTCATATAGTACACAAAGATAAAGAAAGAAAAAAGGAAATTCGGAATAACTCTGATGAACGGGAGAAAGAATAATAATAATATGGAAAAAACATGACAGTTTAGTGGATATGGTAGACCACAAAGGGTGAATGTGTCTTCGCCATATCAACTACAGTCACTGGTCGTTGGAACCCCGAGGACCACAACTGATAGTCTATACCTGCCTACGCGGCTCAAACCAATTACCGAACACTTCATAGACCTATGCCAAGTTTTGCTTTGACCCACCCCTAACTATCTTCCCACCCTAATCCTATGTCAGCTAACGTTGTTTGTCGAGGAAGGGAGTGGTTCAACGTGTGCGACATGTGTCCTAGCCAGCTCAATCAATGTATTTCCGCAACCTAATCGGTTAACTTTCTCGACTGACTTGTAACATCAATGTTACTTACCTAATCCTGCTTAACACGGAAGATAGAGGTCTTCCACTTTTAATGGCCGTGTGTCACAGCCATATAGGAGGACGTAGCGAACTACCGCACAATGCACACGTCCTTTAATCGATAGTCGGATATCAATTCTACGCCAAAGACGACGTAAGTTGGGAAGTGTTACATGAAATTTGTTGTATCCGTACTGAGATTCCATCAGAAATCAGCTCATTGGGGCTGACTCAACTTCTGAAATAAGTGAAGTTGTCAGCATGTGTGATCAATTTACACCCTGTCTCTAAACTGTGAGTTGGTGAAGTCCAATCCCACAGCATCATCTTAAATTTGACAAGGGCGAATCGTATGCCAGACGTTCGAATATTTCTTACCAAGGTGTTCATAAGACTTTTTTCGTCAACATCCCTTACTCGACTAGATTGTTCCCCGGTACCAAGTCGATCCCTGAATTGTTTAAGACAGAGTCAATTCCATTGGTACATCTGCGGTGAAATTAAGCAAAATTGGGGACGGTGGGCATCCGCTACGTTCACCACTGGTCGTCATCATTTTGGATGACATTCCTCGACAGGCTTACATGTCTGTTTGAGTAGAGTGCCTTGATTAGTGTGATATACTTTCTCGACACTCCCTTTACGACCAAACATTGCCACATCACCTCTCGGTCTATAGAATCAAATGCCACTTTCAGGTCAAGAAGTACGTCAAGTTCTGGTTTACCGTAATTATGTTTGTTCTAAGCAGTGGTAAGTGTGGTCCTAACAGGTTGAACATAAATGGTGGTAAAAAGAGGATTACTAGGAAGACAAGGGACTGTATGCGGAGTAGAATTAAAAGTTGGAAACAATACTGAAAATTAAGGTAGTTTGAGATGAATAGCGTGAGTAATAAATAAGTATTATGTACTGTTGGAAGAATGATCAATCACTACTTCCGGGG